TAAAGTTTTCCTATGGGCAATCATACCTGTATATTTTTCAATAATTGAGAATTAACTCAATGTTTATTGTACAGCTAGGTAAATTTTCTTTTCTTCTTCAAATTAAAAATAACATTTAAAAAGTAACTTTTTATACTTTAAATCAAGCACAAGGAAAGGAGTCTGAATGCTTCACTATGAAAGTTTCTAAAAAACCCTATAAAATAATTGTTTTCACAGTTTCTTAAAACTTGAAAATAAGCAGACCAGTGTAAAGGAGTTGGTAGCATTAGCCCCAAGTTTGTTGTTACTAATGTACATGAACAGAAAGTAGAGGGTTGCAAACATGTGCCTCAGCTCTTTTATAGCTGGTAAAGCTACCAAAAATCCTGGTCCTGAATGTTTCTATGTTTCCCCAAAATAGTAGGCATGTTTAGAGCCCCAAGTAGGTACTAATCTGACCTTTGCAGGGCTTTTTCCCTACTGATGTTTGGAATACAGCTACATGGAAGAGAAAAGTGATTTGATTTGCTTAATGAAAGCTAAGCAGATTTGCAGAAACCTGGGGAAATCACCAATATTCCAGATTGAACCCCTAATTTTCTTGCCTGCTTGAGATTCAAAAAGAAATTCTCACTTGTCCAGTTTGCTGGAACCTATTTGTTCTCCCCATGGGGGACTCTGTGGCTCTGAGTGAGGACCTTGCCCAGTTGCAGGAGGCATGTCCAGCTCAGTTCCTTGGCTCCCATAAATACACCAGACCTGCCAGAAGAAGGCTTTGCTTGCAGCCAAATCTTCCTGACTCACAACCAGAATAAGATCTCTGTAATCTCTTACATGAAGCAGGGGATCTAAAATAGAAATCCACAAATCCTTGGATTTTAATCTCAAGGCAACAACTGGGGCAATTTGCATCTCGTTACCACTTCAGACCCTTGCCCTGGGTTTGTGCTAGTTCAGCACAGCCAGTGCAGGCCTGGACATGCATATGCCTCGAGTTTTTACTTTCAGAACTAAAAAGCAAGAGCCTGGTATGAGCTACTTTCACAATGGGATGCTGCAGCAAGCAAATGAAGGATATATGATAAAGACGCTGTGCAATCATCTGATACAATGGATATTCAATCAAACAGAATATTCACTTCTCCTTGAAAGAAGAAAAAAATCTTAACATGAAGGAGAAATGGAGTTAGATTTCCTTTGCCAAAGCTTGAAGTAAATTATTCATGATTAAAAATTCACAGTGTATAACCTTTGTGTTGCTGTTTTTCCAGTTGTTCACTGATGACATAGGACTCCATTTCTAGGATATGAGATCTTGCATGAACAGCTTCTAAACCCTGAAATTTTTAATTTATTCCTTACACAGAATGAACAACATTCTTTTCTACTGCTAACCCACAGTGGAAGCACATTTCTAGTGCATTAGATTTTTATTTTAGTTATGAAGCTAAAGTTAGTTTCTATATAAATCTAATGCCAAAATAAATGATTTTGTTTGGCTTAATTTTGTAGTTTGAATACAATTGTAAATCTTAACTATTTTAGGATAACTAGCATTTTTAAACAGTGCAACTGATACAGTTAAGGGTGAATTTGGTTGCAGTAGCTGATCCCTAAACATTAATGGTGGATAATTAACAATGTCAAAATAATTTTAGCTATTGTAAGTAGAAAACATTTCTCCTGGTTCAGTGCCGTGGAGTCAGTGCATATGGCTGTGTGTTTCACAGAAGAGTGAAGAGTTTTTTAGGGTCCCCTGAAGATTTTATGTAAGACTGCATGCATTTTTCCTCACTGCCCCTACACATACTGGAGAACGCGCAGCTCTCAGCCCGCTCGGAGGCTGCATTTTGGCCGGGAGCCATGGGCGAGCGGGAGCCCTGCGGGCTGCGCCGGGAGGAGCGGGGCGGCACGGCACGGGGCGGCACGGAGCAGCACGGCACGGCACGGAGCACTGCGATCTGCTGGATCCGCGGAGCTAAGCAGGAGAATGGGAGCGAGTAACTGGCAAGCGTTTGCTGCTGGGAAGGGTTTCCTGTAAGTATTACAGATGTGGCAGTGCAGAAGGAAGTTCGCTTGGGCACGTCCAGCCCAGCCCTGGCAGACCTCACCCTCCTGAGGTCTGAGTGAAGGACAGGTTTAAAATGTGCCTCTGGGAAGAAGTATTAAAGATCTCTTGCTCTGAAATACCTGAGCTTGCTGATGTGCCTGAACACAAGCTACAGAAAGCTCAAAACACTCACAGTAAGAAGAAACATTTCAAAGTTTTGGTAAGTGGGGTTTTTCTATGCAACAAGTTGGAAGTGCCACTGCTCTCAATCAATCTGAATGCCAAATACAATGGGAAAAGCATCCATTACCACCCTTAGTTATTTTTCACCCTTCATCTGCAGAGGAAGTCACTATACTGTAATACAAATAAAGATGTGTTTTCTCAGGAATGGTGTCTTGTCCTTTCTACACATGAAGCATGTTTCAGTCTTCACTTCTAGATATGACCTACCTGGGGTTTAGTTCATTTGACAGGGCTCTTAACTTGGTTTTTCAATAGCTGCAAGAATACAAGAATTGCCACGATGGTCACCCTGTCTCCCACACTGGCTAGTGATCCTTCTAGAAGGAGATCTTCACTGATGCGCATTCCTGTCCTTAATCGATCATAGCTGCACAATTCCCTGACACAAAGGCTGCATTTGGATATGCAAATACAGGTGTTTTGTAGCCAAATCTCTGTGTAGGTCATGTCTCTTGAAGCTGTTTTCTTTGATTCTACCAGATCCTGTGGCACAAATGCCCCTGATGGAATTTTGCTGTGTGAAGAAAAGTTTCTTTTCTGTTTGGTTTAAATCTCATTTCACTGAGTGCTGATGAGTTTTGACTTTACAAATACAGCAATTACTTGCTCCCTATTCATCTTTCACTCTTTTACAGACATAGTACTATTTACATTCCTCACCTTGAGATGTTTTCAGCCTGGAAAGTGAGTTACATAATCTCGTGTAATGAAACCACTTTGTATTTCTGATAATCTTTTATTTTAATTTTTCTTTCTCCTGTTTCTGTCTCTGTGTTGTACAGTTTCTGAGATGCACTGGAAGCACCATAATATTAAAAATGAGGGAATGCCATAGAATTGCTCTGTAGTATAAATCTATTTTTTCCCTGGGAATTGTTAATGTTCTACTTGCCTTTCGGCTGTCAAATACCACTGATCCTATGTCTTGCAACTATGCAAAATGACTCCCAGGTCCCTGTACTGAAAAAGTCAGAATAATTTAAAACCAACTGTGTGATGCAGTTAATATTTTGCTGCATGACTATGAAGCTTATTAGTCAGCCTCTCACATGAAGATTTTTTTCCTAGGTCTGTAATTTTGTCATCAAGAAACACTTGTGTTTTCCTTTGGCAGATTATCTGTTAAAATGTTGACCAGATCCCCCTAACATGTCCCTGAATGCCCTCTCAGGCATTCTAGATTTTAAACAGCCTTGAGAAGTCTCATTTATTTCCTGGAGAACCTTATTTTTTTGAGGGACTTACTAGGAAAAAACAAACAAGCAAACAAAACAAATAACCCTCCATAGTCATACAATGTACAAGTTCTTAGTATTTCAAGGATGTGGAACTACTGCAATACTGATGTCCGAAGTTGTCCTCTCAAATGGGTTTTTTGTGTGTGATGCCAAAAACAAGTTGGGTGAGTGGGACAAATTATCAGCAGCTCTTCCACTGGTAGAAATGGACATGAGGAAGGGGCTGCTGCTCCCAAGTTAGTGTTGCTGCCACTTTGTATTTCCCACAGAGCCTGGTCCAGCATGCTCCTGTTATAAATCCTGCCCCAGAACCTACTCTCTTCTTACCAGTTCAGTCCAGAGCTCTCTCCTCCTATTACCTGTTGTTGCATAGCATGCCCTTTACTCTCACTCTTCTCTAAAAATACAATAAAATAAGAAAATCTTGTTTCTGGTAGGGATTTATGAAAACCTGGATAGTGAGCTTTCATGTCCCTTTAATTCCCAGATATAGAATTATAGACAGCTGGCTTGCCTAGAGTCCACCTACTAAGGATTTAAACAGGAATGCACTGTTTTCAACCTACAATTGCTTTCTCTTCTAAAACCCCTTTTTTAAAATTTGGAGCGAATACCATATTTGTAAAATGAATGCCAACAGATAATACAAAAATCCACAAAGATAAGCAGTCTTTGCAGTTGTTTGAGGATAATGTCACTGTAGCTTTCCTCTTGCACCCTTTTTCTAGCCATAATTTCATAAGTGCACAGAGACTTACACACAGCTATCCACTCTGTATCACAGCTGAAGGAGGTATTTTGTTTCCTGATTTTAACAACTACATGGACTTCACCTAAGCTGTAATATGCCTAAGCACACAGTTCAACTCCCTTGTCTCTGAGTGAAGAAAAGAAGTTCAACTTTCCAGATACAAATGACTCACAGGAAGCTGTGTAAGTTCATTGGATTTTTTTTGCCTTTTTATAACATCTTCTGTCGGGGGGGGTGGTGTACAGCCTATTATCAGTGTAAGAAATCACTAAGAAAAGTTTAGTTTACCTTTGCAAGGTCAAATGTTTTCCCTCCTGGAGACCTCTTCCCCTCTTATTAAAGAAGGAAATGATTACCTGAAATCTTTCCCTATTTTTTTGATAGTTCACCCCTAAATTCAATGTATTCAACTTCTGCTTCAATTAAACATAAATTTAACCTGCTTGTATGGAATGCACAATAGCAATGGCAATGACTAAACAAAGATTGGCTCATTCAACTGCACATAATTACTAAAAACCAGCTGCTTTTAACGACTTTTGAAAGAACAGTTTGCCCATTAGCTGTGCTCATTTTTCCTTTGATATGCATAAATTTAGTGCTAATACATCTTATTCACAAATTTCCTTTTTTCATACCTGTATCACAGTAACTCATGAACTGAGATCAACACAATTAGGTATTCAGCCTTTTGCAAAGTATGGAAACAAAGTTAGGGAAAAAAGGAGACAAATTTTATACATCAGTATATTTATTACAGAAAAATAATCAAAAGTAAAAAATACAAAAAGTACATGTTAAAAATACAAAATTACATGTAAAGCAATGTCCAGCAGCTAAATTGTAATCCCAAGAGGTAACACTGACCACAAGAACAGCCTCTGAGTCTGACATGCAAGGTCTGTCACAGGCATCGCCCTCCTTGGCGTCACCTGGATGTAATGGCTTCCCTCAGATAACCCAGGCACGACTAACCCTGGTGCAGCTTCTGGCTGTTATCTTGACAGCAGATGACAGATGAAAGGGAAGTAGCTCAGACATGTCACCATGCAAGTTTTGGTGGCTATCACAGCACACCCATGACAACACAGGATTTTCACAAAGGAGGTCGCCTTCTCAGTGGTTGTGTAAGCCCTTCTCCCTGGAGGCCCTGTGGAAGGCTCTCCAAGGCTCACCTGCCTGTACAGAGCAGCAGCTGTGACACAGCACTGCTGTGTATCCCCGACTCCCATTGAAAACGCTGCAAAAATACTGTATAAAAGTAACAAGTGTAAAATTGAAGCCCTGTTGAGACTGGGGTTCTTAGTAGCTAAAGAATTCAAGAGGCTAAACACCAAGTAGAAAAGTATAAAATCTTATAGTAAAAAAAAGAACAGGGAGGTCAGTCAGTCTAATCCTTCCCCTTTTGCCTGCTGGCTTGAAAGCCCTCTTGCTTGACTAGGAAAGGCTATCCAAGTGCTTTATCAGGGAGTTGAGTATTCAGTCTAATCACTTTGTCAAATCCAGAATCTCTTTTGTGTTTACTAACCAATTAATAGTTACATTACACTTTTCCACACTATATATTTTGCTTGCAGAATTTGTGTCGACGTAAAGATGCCCACAGAAGCTAGTTCAAAAGAGGAGCACTAACCACAGGCATTGTATAAAAGCAAACAGAAAAAGCCCACAGAAGACAGTCTTCATCGACAGCAAAGCCCAAGCTTTCAGTAGCTGCATTTATTTCCATATGAAAGCCATCACTGTGTTTAGGGGAAATGCCTCCTTTTGATTTGCTGAGATGTTTCATGGAAGACTGTGTGTCCTGCTGTTTGTAGAGAGCATGTGCCATCTAGATCTGGGGTTTTCTCAGCATCTGGTGGCCTCAGATTTTATGCAACCATAAATTGTTCCAAAATATTGTGTGTTCTTGTTCATGATTTTGGTATCCCTGGCAAAGCGGCCCTTTGTGTAAAACTGGCTTATGGGAAGTTGGTTCAGCACAGTAACTGCAGTCTGACAATACCCTGAATTTGGTACTCTTAAAGTACTCCATAACCAAGGGGTCAGCTCAGAGACTGGATAGCTGCTCCACTGTGCAAACCATTTAAACATCCTCACACCCTTTCTGTTTGACAGAGACAAACATTCCAACATAAACCACTTTGTCTGTTACACAAAGCATTGCTAGCATCTAAATACAATAGACAAATGTAATTTATCAGCAGTAAGAGCTAAATTGCACTGAAGAGAGGTTAATAAACCAGTGTGTGCTGAAAAGAGAGGAGTGTATTTCAAAAAGTGCATTTCAAAAAACTGGTATTTTGTACAAACAGAACTTTGTAACAATATGCAACTATTTCAAATAAGTCAATTTATACCAAATCTAAGAGACAGAATCACAAAATTATTATTTCTAGTCTACAGGAAAGTGCCTTGAAAGAAGATGGTCCAAAAAGTTTTAATCATGTTCACCACATCTGTAAACAGAATAAAATGACCTGTTATTTATATGAGTGCCACCTTGCTCTCAATGTGAAACGTGGAGCTCCTTGGTGATTTCTCTGAGAACATTCCAGAGCCCCTGAGGATAAAAGACATTACCTTTGGACTTCTAAACATGAATACAATTTTATCTGAGTGGTCTTCCCAGGTACTGCCAGAGCTTGCGCCATATGCTTCGCATGGATAGTAGCAAGATGTGCTCAGCAGGGGTTCTGCACATTTTCAGAGCACAGCATGCTAAATTAAGAATTTTTATTGATACACAGAAGAGGTTTAACAACAGAGAAAACAACATAATGCTTACAGTACTTCTTCTCCTAAGTTTCTAAAACCTGTCCATCAAAATACCACACTGGCCCAAATGTAATGGCTTTTTCATTACATCAATTAAAGCTTGAAAGAAATACACCTACCTTATATTTGTTTTCATACTGATTTTTTGACTAAGCTTTCAAGCCCTTTTAAAAACCAGACAAGATCTAAGCTGCTGGTAAAATGTGCAGCAGTCAAGGTCTTTGATGAACATGTGAGCTGGAGCAGGGAACAGGCTCCGCAGCAGAAATTTCAGGACCCATTACAGGAAGAAAACAAGGAGAGAGGCCTGTGGTATCCTGTGTTCTTCCCCTCAAAAAGCTGCAAGTCTCCTTGTATTTGAGAAAATCTGGAATTTATCTAAAAGCTAATTGGTACTCGCACACCAGAAAAAATATTGTCAGCTCACAGAGGAAGGCTGAAAAATAAAATGTGTTTGGATTGAAAGTTCAGCAAGCTGCAGCTCTGACAAACAGCAGAGGTAAATCCCATAATAAATATTTGATTCCCCTACACAGGTAATTGCTAGTAAATGACCATTCTCAAATATGCTTTGGGGTCCTTATTTGAAATAAGTGAGCCTATGTAAGCATTTATTTAAGACAAAATCTTCAAAAGCAGTTAATCAACACAGTATTGCAAGAGGTTAATTAAGCTCATAGGTGCTAATGGATTTAGAGTGTTATTTATTCAGAGTTATCTAAGTCTGGCTCACTCCCTCCTTCATGCTAGCACTAGCAAGAGACCCTTCGGAAAGTTTTGGGGGATTTTTTTATCCCTGTCCTCACACCAAATTAGAGCAGAGAGGTGGCCTGGAGGGCCAGGTCACATCATGATCTGTATAGCTGGCACAAGAGAAGCACTGCTTCTTTTGGCACAACCCTATTAGGTGAGCCTAAGCTAAAGTGCATTTTCTGCTAGTGGCTGAACACTTGCACATTTGATATAAAATGCTGAACCAGTGGCAAAGCTGATTAATATCAGGACTTTATTCTAATGGCTTCTTTAAGGACTCGGAAAACTCACTGCCATAATGTATTGTTGCATAGTAAAAGTCCATCAAAATCTCTCTTCTAAGCAAGTAAACAGGTTCTGATAGGATATTCCTCCTTACAGACTGTCTGTGGGCATGCACTTTGGAGTAAGAAAGGGACCATTACCAATATCCTTGTCTGAATTTGTACATTATATATGCTAGTCTCAATCCAACAATTTCTGTGTCAGACTTCTGTTCTTAGCTGTATAAACTCCAATGGCAGGGTTTCAAACAGGCCCTCTGCTCCCTCTGTTGCAGTCAGCCAAGCTATTTGCAAACACTTTCACACATTCTCCTGCCTGTGAGAAATGTAGGCCAGCTTACCACAAGCAGACAATGTGAAACATTCTTAAAAAACCCAGCTGCTGGCCTGTTTTTCATAGAGTGCAAGTCCTTTTAAACACTCGACTACCTTCTACCCTGTAAAACCTCCTTTTCCACAGAGGGAACTTCCCCCTTTCTGGGGTGAGAACACCACATGAACCATGTTCCCTGCCCCACCACAGCAGATGCTGTTGCACCACTATTACACTACCCTACTAAGGCTCTAGCCAAATTGTAGAACTGAATGCAAAAGACCCACACCCAGCCGTGTCTGCTTTTAGTTCTCAATATTTCAATGCATTTTTAAATATCAACAAAATCCATAATTATTTGATTCTTAAGTAAAACAAGCTAGAAACTGAAAGGAGTTGTATTTGTTTTAATACAAACAATCAATCCAAATTAATTCCACTTAAGTCAATCATCAATACTCAACTACAGTTAAAAAGAAAATTCCTCAGAGATGGGGGATTTAAAATTAGCATGGACGATAAAGATATTAAGGTAAAAATTTAGAAACAAAATTAATCAGGAATTACAAATACAGAATATCTCCTTGAGTAATGCTTGGACTTTGATCCATTGTTAAAATCTGTGATTTTGCACTATATTGTTCAAAAGAAGAATACCATTCACCATGGAAAAAAACATGAGATTTTTTTTTTTAAAATTACAAGGTTGCTTACCTGGCACTAAGTTGCTGAAGAGCTTGAACCTTCTCTCTCATTTGATCCCAATTTTGCTTTGCATTCTTTGCAAGTATGATGACACTTCCTACAATATTGAAAGCAAATAACACATTGAAGAATTTTGCTGGATTTTTTCTAATACAACCATAAAGCATGATGGCAAAAGTTCTTGAAGAAGTAATCTCTTGCCTATATTCTCCAATTTTGTAATATGGGATATAAACTGCAAAATATGACATCTAAATGTCTCAGCCAATAAATGCTCATTAATTAGCATTAAGTACTCCTTCTAGCAATTGCCAAGACAAAACAGGATTTTCTAAGCAGCAAAAGACAGTCCTTGCCATTGTACCTATGAGCAAACCAAGCTAGGAGTAAGGTGTATAACATTTTGTGCAATACCAAGTACATACTTTGTTATGTGGGGGAAGAATACAAGTAGAGAAATAGATGAACCATGAAGAAACTTCCCATTATCAGTCAGGTACTTTTATAGGCATAAAATGGTCTCATGCTGGTCTCAGGGAAAGATGTGGAAAGACAAAGGAGAATGATTTTTTTGGATAGGATTTTTGGAAATGTGTTCTGTGAGCAAAAGTTTTATACCAAAAGCAATATTGAGAATGGAGAGCATAACAGGCAGCTGAAGGAGGAGCTGGGAAGGAAGTCAGAGTCTGATTTGATGTGAAGGAGTACTTTATGTGAAGTTGAGAAAACAATCAATAAAACATGGAGGTAGCAGGTGACAGAAGTCAACCATTGAGCTTTGTTCTATGGTTAAAAGTGCAAGGTGGAAAAAGCACCCCCTCAGTTTGCGCTCTTCATGGTTTGGCATGACAGCATGAGGTTGGGCAAAGCCATAGATGTGAGAGAGGCTTGGAATATTGGCTGAGGTTGACATTGTTGTTAAAATATGAGAACATTATAAAAAAATCTGTAGCATATTTGGCCTGAGGTATGTTCCGAAGGAAGACTCAAAGGATCAAAGTGATAATATGGACAATCTTAGCAGTATGATACTAGATGAAAAGAGAATGAGTCCCATCACAGCTAAAAGTACAATAATTTCATTTAAATAATGGATATCCTAGTAACAGGTATTACAATGAGTTTAATTTGTATTTTCTGAAGAATGTGTAATAGTTTCTAATACTGCAATACAGTCCAAGACTATAACTAGTACTTCAGGATCTAATCACAGAATTTAAATTCATAGTTTTGTTGCATATAATTTTTAGTGTGTTTTAGACTATTTTGATCTAGGCTTAATAATTTAAATTAGCACAGACCTTTTTTGTTGTGGACCAAATGGTGCAATACCAATTTTCTGAAACTTTTTCTGGCATACTCCCATGTATGACATCCTTCCAATGGCAAAACCCAAGACACTGGCAACTACAGAGACAGATAACAAAACATTGTTAGTACAACACCTAAAATCAGGAGTGTGCTATAAGCTCCACTTTAATAATATAACAAATTCTGTACCACATCTTCTCAGAACATGTTACAAACGCATTTGAAGTTATACAGGGTTTACAAGGGTGAATTCATTAACTACTGAAAACTGGTTACCTATCATGAGAGAGAGCAACTGGTCCAAAATAATTGATACAGAAAAAGAATATAATATTCCTGCATACAGGAAAAGGAGATAATATTTAAAGGACCAGATTATAGAAAATAAAATTAATTCACAATGTCAGCAGTAATAGTTCTTGCTTTTGATTGCACACCATGGTTTACTTCTAATGATCACACTTTTAACACCAACTTCTCTGGCCTTCTAAGAAGCTAGAACATCAGCCTGCCATACTCTTGCACTGTGGCTTTCACTCAGTAGAATCAGAATAAAAGACTACTTCAATGTCCTTGATTTCCTGGTGAATTTCTGCTGGAGAGGGAATCTATTTAAATTCTTGTCATTTATGAGCCACCTAACTGTACAGTACAGTTTCTGTGCTTCTACTTGTTTTCTTTATCAATCCATGGTTCTGAATTAGACAGTTGAGATCAATCAAGCGAACACATGAAAAGGACCATATTATTTTATATATTATAGTATTGTGACTTCATGATACCATAAGTTGTGCAATCTGCCAAGCACAACTGATCAATGAGCTGACATAATTTATAAAACAAAGTGGAGACTACTTTATACCAATATGAGAGACTGCATTACATAAATATAAGCTGCTACTGAAAATATTTACATTAGAAGAATCTAGTTTCATACATTTATTCTGAAACACATCAGAAATCTGATTTTCTAATCTGCTGGGTTAACATCTAAATTGCAAAAAAATAAGATTTTGGAACCTTTTGTTTTAGAATTGGGTACAACTTACTTGCCATCTTGGGGTATGGACCAAATCTTGGGCTTGCTGAGAAAATGCCTACAATAAAAGGAAATAGTCAGAAAGCTTATTCACTTGAGAAACTCACTGGCACTCAAAACCAGCACTAATTTTCCTACAGATTTTGCATTTCTTAAGGTGAGGATGGTATGAAGTCTACTAACTCAGATTTCAGTACATCAGGGCAGTTTCTATTCCACTAGTTCTTAGTGCATGTGTTTTGGAGCAGTCCTAGAGTCATAGGAGGAAGAGAATCTGGATTTTGCAGGATTCAGCTCAGGCAGGAGTTCAGAGTGTAAGCCAACATGAAAGAAGCATGTCAGCCACTGGTGACACCTGCAGCACTGCAGAGGAAGTGATGGTGGCTTGTGTTTCAGCAAAACCAACCCTCCACATAAAGCAGCAAAATTAAATCTCTTACACAGGGTCCAGCTCCTTGTGCTGTGGTAAGTAGGATGAAACTGCTCTTTGGTAGCTTTCTGTGGCTATCAATTAAAACTGTATCACTGGTATCTAGCCCTCTCCTCTGGAGAGGAAAGATCACACATTTTGGCCTTTAAGAGGAGAGCACAGAAACAAGAAAAAGCAAAAAATTATCTTTAGCTTTTCCACCAAAATCCACATTCCCCCAGTTAATCTCAGGAGGTGAAACCAGTATTCCTCTGAGAACTCTGTGTCTGGCAGAGGAATGCCATGCTGTGGAGGAGGGCTCCACACAGCAAGATTACAGAGGCAAAGGGAAGGGAAGTAAACACTGGTTGCACTGTTACATGCATTCAGACAGTAATAATGAGGCTTAGAGGCTCCAGCATCTTCTAGAGGCAGGGTACTGTGTGCAGCCATCAGAAGAAAGTATTTAGACAGAGGAGTATTCAGCCTATGCTAAGCACAAGGGCCTTTGCCTACTGTGATCTATGCAATTTTGTACTGGGTTTCTCGAGGGAGGGAGGAACAAAATGTTGTTTGTTTCTAATCACCCCCCTCCAACTGTTGACACACAGTAATGATTATTTACAAAGTGCATTTGCTATCTCACAGCTGATCAGAAACATCCAAGTACAGTGAACAGAAACTGAGAAGAGTACCTGGTGCCAGAGGCTGGCTGGCATGTTAGCTACAGAGACAGCCCCGGTGCCCTTCCTATTACTGCTCATCCTTTTTCCAATGTGTAATCCTTCTCTGATACACTCTTACTCCTTCTCTCCCTGTCTCCCTACAAGCACATAGATCAAGGATGCAATAGGGATCAGCCTCTTGGGATATAGCTTAGCAGACTTCAGGGTGGATGCCCATCACTCTCTCCCCAAAACACCAACCTCAGCCTTATACACAGTCAAGGTCCCCGGCAGGGGAACTGAAGGCGCCATGCATAGAACCAGGCTCATCCACCACATAAACAGAACACAATTTTCTTTTGTGTTAGCCTGCAGATCGTGAGCCATCTCTACAGAAAGCTCTCTGTCTCCTCACTTTGGCAGTACTCCTTGTCCCTTTGCACCAAAGCTGTAGTCATATTGACACATGGCCACTGGCAAAACATTGCCAGCATTTTCAAACAGAACAACAGTCAGAGCTCCAGTACCCAATTCTAACGCCCCTGCTCGGGCTGTACAATGCTCTGCCCCACGAGCTGCCCCAGTGAAGACTGCTTACTACGTGTGAGCATGGTGACAAAATCCAGCCACCAGTCTTTGGATTTGCAAATTCTCTTTTCAGTTCATGTTCTTGCAAAAGAACGACTGGGGCAATGCACACATAATAATCAAATCACTATAGCAATGACAGTAATGAGTGAGAAGAATACTGATCTTGAAAAACAGGACTTTAATGATGTATTTTTTTATCTTTACCTTTTGAGATTAGCCCCTGGGTGACAAGCATGCTCCCAAGAGATAAAGGAAGAGCTGTAAAAATAAAAAGGAGAGTAGCTGCTATCAGCCAAAATTTGCTACGTATTTGGTAAATACTCTCATATACATTAAATGTTTTCTGTTTCTAATGTTAAACACATTATTTCTAAACATTAGTTTTGCTTACTGTCTTAATTATCTATTACACCTGCTCCTTCAGATTACATTCTCTTCAAAGTCAAGATAGCCTTACAGTGACAGACATCAGCCATGCTGTAACATCTGGAGCTAATGCAATGTATATATATTTATTAAATAATACTTTCCTCACTCTGAATATCTCCTCTAATTACTGCAACACTTTTTATTACAACAGCTCCAATAAAATGCTGAAACCCTTTTCAATCTTCTCCATTCAGGAAATACATAATTTAAACACAAACTGAGAGAGTGGAAGTAAAGGCATTACAGAACCAAGCATTGATCTTTTTAGCTGTCCTAACATACTTAGAATTTCACAAATCAAAGACACGTGCCTGCCTTCCATTCAAAGGAAGGGACTAGTATGTAACAAAGTAAAACATTCCTAAGGTGGTTGTTATAATGGACTTCAAGAATAGAACCAACTCTCCAACTGCTGAAGTTCATATTAAACAAGACCTCAATCCAACCACCTTTACCTACAACAATTATGCCAATAATTCAATTAAACCTTTAAGAATACAAAGCTTAACTTAACATGACAGATTTAACCCACAGCAGTGTTGCAACAAAAAAGCATTTTGCAGACAGTTTTGCAAACATACATCAAGAAGTCATTCTTGATGTGTGATAAGTGTGGTAAGAATGACTTTGGATCACTCACCTCTGTACCAGAAACTTTCCTGTTTGCATTCTTTAATGATCCTTGCAATCTCTCTGTCTTGAATTTGGGACATGGGACAAAATAACATTGGCTGAAAGCATAAACCTGGATTAGTTTCCCGAATTTAATTGCACAGGAAGAAAAAAAATTAATCAATTAAAGAAGATAAATTATTTTAAAAACAAATAAAATACAAAAACCTTCAAGCAAAAGTCCTTATTCTGTTGCTAGCAGTGTGATGAAATCTTGATACACCAATACAGAAAAAACTACATAGGTTTTAAGTTTAAACAACTCATCTTGTTGATCTTTACTTTCCTAAAATTGCTCAGCTGCTATTTATCCTGGAAGCATATTCTTTTATATCTGTTAGTCATTTCATTCTCATGATCTACATTATGTCTCCCAGAAAGAAATGACAGGAAATAAAGGCAGAGTGGCAGTTTTCAAAAATCAAGTTCCGCTCTGTAAAGAAGTCAACTGAAGTTCAATAAAAGCAGATTTTGGAAGTATTTAGAAGAAGGTCAACATAAACTCTACTAGACTCCCCATTAGTGGAACTTTCTCTCTGAGCAATTTAAATATATCCATGGCATTAACTGAACTCAACCATACTGGCTTCACCCTAGTACAAATCAGGCTGCCAACAGACTTCTTGAAGGCAGCTCTTTTTTCACCCATTGTGATTGTGAGGAAAAAGTGACAGTGTTCTTCTCCCTTGCATTCTACTATCCAGGGTATTGGCATGTAAACATATGAGGATTATTTTTCTTTCTTTAAGAAAAGACTCAAGTGTTAGCATTTGAAGTTGTTATCAGACATCTAAGATAAATGGGTGTACTGGTTTCGACTGGACACGAGTTTATTTTCTCCACAGTAACTGGTATGGTGCTAGGTTTTGGATTTATGACCAAACCAGTCTTTACAATACAGGGATATTTAATTACTGCTGAGTAGACCTTACACAGAGTCAGGGCCGTTTCTGTTTCTCAAGCTGCCCCACCAGCAAATTGGCTGGGGATGTAGAAGAATTTGGTAGGGGGCATAGCTGGGATGGCTGACCCAAGGGATATTCCAATTCCATACTGTGACATTGTGCTCAGCAAGAAAAGCCAAGGGAAAGGAGTTTCATTAAGTTAAAATCAATTGAAACTTTAACTTTTTTTTTGTAAAAACACATCATCTTCAAATGTACATACTCTTGAAAGAAAAACCAGGCATCATAGAAGAAGCAATGCCTTGGAAAAAACAGTACATTCATCTATTACAGGATTTTATCTCCTTTTATGCCTGACTCCTTTTATGCATGATTTTATAGCCATAATAAGGAAATGCATTTATTGGCCATAGCCACACATTTCACATTATAGGTAATTAATATCTCAGCCCTTCTTCAAGCACTGCTCCCACAAAAGTTAATGGTGGTGCTGGGTAAAAAATACAGAATTGGCTCCATTCCAGATCATAGAGAACTGCTTCAAACTGGTTTCAGAGCAAGGTCATAGCAAATACAGTAAAATACAAACAGGCTGACTGAAATATAAGGAAATGCATGTCAGAGCCCTAAGCGCACCAACAGGCTCTGCAACCTTTCTGCCTCCATACACACTGCCAGCTGTTTAGCTGCTTGGCCTCAGAGTCAGCTCTACCATGGCACAGTTGTGTAACACCAAGTTAGACTGCTGAGAAAACAGAAAAGCTCGGAGAAAGCAGCAAGAAACTTTGCTCAGGGCCTCTGCCCCTCAGCTCCGGAGCTGTATATAAGCTCGGGCCCTTGTCTTAACTGTGCTGTAGCTATAACATGGAGATCCTTACCCTGCCTTGCTAACCTGATCATGCAGCTTAGCATCAGACTTGCCTGGCCATCACTGAACAGACTGTGGGCTGACCCTGGTTAACATCATTGGATCTGCTCTCTTCCTCTTTCTGGGTACTGTGATACTGTGCATCATGTACATGAGGCCCCAGCCCCTGTTACCCTGCTGTCACTTGTGCCTCTTCCTTGCAGATCAGCCTGGTATTGCTACCCTCTGGTAGTGACTGGTTAGCAAAAAGTCATATCACATTTAAATTCCTAAATGTCTCCATCAGAGGAGAATGTTCATCTTCTGTAGAGCTGTAGGCCAGATTTTGTGCTGTACTGTTCCCTTCTCCCCTTCTGAACATGTGCATGCAGAGCTTGATGGGGACAGGTTGTACTGGACTTGCACTCAGACACCACGGCTATGCCAGTTCATAACTCAGGGCATAAATCAGAGCCTTAAGATTCACAGCTCCCAGCCCTCTGAGCACAGTGAACCAGGAAAAATAACACACCATCCTTTCCTCTCTTCGTCTATATGCTTAAGCCATTTCTCTCTTCAATAAGAGTAACTGAGGCAAAGTCTGTTATTCATTAGCAATAGCACTGAAATATAAGGGAGGAAACCCAGCTTACCCATCCAGGCTGTTTTATTGGAGGTGTCTGACTTCCCTGTTGACCTGTTTCAGAAGACATTGCCTCTTTCCTTGTAGTCTGCTACTGCTCTTGTTCAGCAGAAGCTATGCCTTTTATGCTTGGCTACTTCTCTTTCTGCTAGGTACAAAGGTAAAAAGTCAAGATATCATACTGATATTCCTAAGCCCAATTCCTAAGTTCATCTAGAAAAAAAAATGACTAGGTTGAAAGGAGTGTATTTTTTACAGCACATAGCATCCAGTCACCTGATACACAATTTACAGCAAAATTTGTCACTTATCAGCAACACAGAGTTGTATGTAACTTAAACAGGTAAGTCAGTAACTATAATTAAATGCTGAATCATGACTTAGTATAGTATGCATAATCATAAAGAAATGCAAATAAATATGAGCAAGTAACTGAAAACCTTTCTAATTTTGTAATGTATTGCAGGTCCAAGAAATAGCCTCTTTAGTGTGCTGTCCAGAACTTCTATCCTCACTGCCACCATCTGAAGCCTGGATTCCATGGGACCCACCAAGCAAGCCTATCACAAACTACATCTGCATCTGTATCTCCAGAAACCCAATTCAGTCACAAACATGCTTTAAAAAAAAAAAAAAAAAAAAAAAAAAAAAAAAAAAACCAAACCAAAAAACCCACAAAAGAGTAAATAGATTCCAAAGACTTTTAGAGTTGCAGTTTTCCATGCTTGAGAGCTGCACTGCTAGGGAAAAGCAAGAAGGAAACTCATTTATTTCTAGAGAATTCAAACAATCTAAATTGAGATTTTTACCTAGCACTTTGTTGCATGGTCTGGCACTTTATTAACACAGAGGGCACTTCTGCTTTTCTGAAAAGTACCTTCTGAGAATGGTGGCACTGAACAAGGCTAAAGTGACTGCAAACGGCAGAGTTAAATAGAAAAGATATGCAACAATTTACTGACCTAAATGGTTTTTTGCATTCGTAATATTACTGTATAAACTTCCTGCACTTATTTTGGGGTCAGTTACACAGCTATGAAGTTTAAGCAACATCTACTTCATATACACTAGATATTCAGACAGCAAAGCTTTTTTAAGCAATAGAAGCAAAATATCCTCCTATCCCCTTGGCAAAAAAAACCTAAAATAAAGCATTGAATTCATAACAATCTGCACTTTATTCGCAGACACTTACAAAATGACAATGATCACTGTGTCTTTGAAAAACTGTAAGTTTGAAAACCTATATTATATGAGGAAAGCTCACAGCTCTACACTGTCTTCCTCAATCTGAAAGCAATTCAATTTTCATCAGCCTCTTGTCACTTAATACAAAAAAAGACATAAAATATGAGAAATATGTATAAAACTTTAAAGAGGTTTGTGTCAATCAAGAATGAATCAAATTTTCTTTCCTTATCTGCTTTCTTATTCTTATCTACTCACAAAGCCTACTTGTGCAGACGGCTGCATAAAAATAATCACTGGAAACAGTTTCTAAATGCTGCAACAGATTTAAAGAGCTTGTCTTTTTCATGATAATAAAACAGCTGAGTCACAGGAGGAAAATAAATAAAATAAAATGAAGGAAAAAGAATGGGTATAAATAAAGATTATAACTATTTGCAGTTTGCCATGGGCCTCCTATATTGTCCTAAGTACATGTTTCTACATGTTATTCAGCTATGCTACTGCTTCAACATAATGAAGAACCCCAAAAATATTTAGCCCTTTAAGCAGCCTCATGGTACGTCTCCCACACGGGATAAAAGCTGAGAGCTCTACTGGCAAGAATGAAACAAAGAGACAGAGTTGATGTCATCAAAATATTATGTAACTGAAATATTAATATTCATACCTAGCAGACAAGCTGTCTCCTATCTGAGGAATGTAAAAATGTTCTAATATTTCAAGGCCTTGTAACTTGCAAAGACAACTGTTATCCCAAAAAATAACTATTTCCATTAGGGTACTGGAGAAATGTAATTTCTTATAATTTTCTGCACTACTCATTACTGTTTACTCAACCTTACATGTAATTCTTAGTGCAATAATTAAGTGTATACTCTGGGAAGAATTTCCCAGTTATATTATTCTGTTTAAATGAAATGCCTATATAATACAAGATTAAATCTATGCAGTTTGCAAGGATCAAATAGTCAAAAAAAGTATTCATCTTTTACAAGAAATATTTTATTCATTTAGAGAAGAAAATGCTAATTTTAGGCTCCTGAAAAAATCTCACAGTTGGAATACCTCTAATGGGATGACAAAGAAACATTATGCAAGAACATAGGTAAGATTTTAAATATGAGAGTTGCCAACTTCATATACTGTGTTTTCAATAAAAAGCCTCCTTCTGAATAGGAATAATTTCTAGGACCACTTCGGGGAAGAAAGGGGGAGTAAAAATTGCATGTATTTACTGGTCCACGCAGTGGGCTGTGATGCCCAGAGCAGGCACCACGCATCAAAGATTTCAGAGACGCACTTCAAGGACCATGGAAGATGACAAGCCTCAACATGATGTTTCACACCTATCTGAACTGGCTCTTTGAAATAAGAGCCCGAGTTTAAAACAGGGGTGAGCTTACAGAGTAGCTGCACCAGGCAGTCAATGAAAAGGTCCCTACCAGCAGCCTGAGAGCGGGGGCTGGGGAATGCCCCATGCCTGCTCAGCCCTGCAGCAGCTGCTCAGTGCCCCCACCCAGGGCAGTGCTCCCCCGGCCAGCACAGTGTATTTCTTTCCTAGAATCACAGAACCAATTCGGCTGGAAAAGGCCTCTAACATCATAGAGTCCAAGCTATGACCAAACACCACCTTGTCAACTGAACCATGGCACAGTCACGTCCATTCCAATGTCTAATCACTCTTATCGTGAAGAAATTCCTCCTGATGTTCAACCTGAACCTCCTCTAGCACAGCTTGAGGCTACGTCCTCTTGTCCTGCCATTAGTGGTCTGGGAGAGGAGCCTAATCCTGCCCTGGCTACAACCTCCCTCCGGGTGGTTGCTGAGGGCAATGAAGTCTCCCCGAGCATCCTTTTCTGTAGGCTAAACAGCCGAAGCTCCCTCAGCCGCTGCTAGCAGGACTTATACCCCAGAGCCTCCAGCAGCTCCGCTGCCCTTCTCTGGACACGCTCAAGCACCTCAGCGTGCTTCCTCAACTGAGGGGGGGCAGCGCCGCCGGGCGGCAGCACAGGCACAGAATACAGACACAGGCACAGAATACAGACACAGGCAGCGGCAGCACAGGCACAGACACAGGCACAGAATACAGACACAGGCACAGGCAGCGGCAGCACAGACATAGGCACAAGCACAGGCACAGGCTGCGGCCGGCCGTCGAAAGCCGCGCCCCACACCCGCCTTCTCCCGCCGCGACGCCCCGCGTAGCCGCTTGGCGGGGAGAGGAGGAGTCTGACACTCACGGGCCTCACCGCGCTAACCTCGCGCAGGCAGGGCAGGGCAGGGCTGGGCTGACCTGGCCTGACCCGGCCCGGCCCGGCCCGGCCCGGCCCGGCGGCCCCGGAAGCGCACGAGTCGCGCCTGCCGGGCCGAGGCGCGCCGGGCTGCAGCGCTGCCTGCCGGGCGCCGGGCGCAGGGACAGCGGGCGGCCGGCCCGCAGCGCCCGCCCCGCCGCCTCAGCGCCGCTCCTCGCGCCCTCCCGGGGGGGCTCCGGTAGGAGAACTGCGAGCGCGCCAAGAAAATTCCGCGTTCTCGGATTTCCCCACTGAAATTCAGATCGCTGTTTCAGCGAGAGTATATGTTAATGAAGGTAACAGAATCACGGAATCATTAGGGTTGGAAGGGCCCTATGGAGGTCATCTGGTCCAACCCACAGTGCGAAGGCAGGGCCACCTGGAGCGGGTGACACAGGAATGAGTTTGGAATGTCTAGAGAAAAGGAGACCCCCATGACCTCCCTGGGCACCCTGTTTGGTGCTCTGCCACTCTCAATGGAAAGATCTCCCTCAAGTTGAATTGGAACTTCTTGTTTTAGCTGATGGCCATTACTCCTCGTCCTGTCGCTGGGCACCACCAGAAAGGGTCTGTCCCCATCCTCTGACACCCGCCTGTGAGATATTTACCTGCACTGACGAGACCCCGTCCCAGTTTTCTCCTCTGCGCACTAAACAGGCCCAGCCCCTGAAGTCTCTCCTCAAGAGAGATGCTCAGGACCTCTCATCATCCCTGTGGCCTCCACTGGACCCTCTCCAGTTATATTTCTTGTAGTGAGGACCCCCGTATACAACATATGGGGTCTGTCCTACAAACTGAAAATATGTTTTCTAGAAATTAAATCTTGTTCTTTAAAAAAGAAACAAGAAATTCTACTTTGACCATTTTGGAATGAAAAGCATTGCCTATCTACTTTGGTTTTAATATTACGCTCCTTATGTAAGTAAATAATTAAACATTAATATTAGCAAGAATTAAACAAATAAGAAAGGCATTTTCATCAAGCAAAAATAATTTTGCAAGAAAAAGTTATCCTGAAAATATCAGTTGGGTGTGGGAGGGGTTGTTCTAGGAATTTTGAAAAATATGGTTCTACTTTCTCTGAAATGAGAAAGTCAATGACTTTCTTTAAGAATAAGTTTTCTAGAACAAAAATTATAAACATTAGTTTTATTTTGCATTTTATTTTACTAAAAAAAGTCTCTGTTTCTATTTTGGTTTGCTTTGGTTTTGTTTTTGTGTTGTTTTTTTTTTTTTTACTGCAAGACAGTAGTTTTCAGTAGAGTATCCTAAATGGTGATATGACACTTCAGTGCTTATCATGAAATGAATAGCCTGTGAGATCATCATTAAGCATCCTCATTTTGCATGACCTTGACATCTCAGTTTCATAAGAAACATAAATTGTTATTAATTTTCTTAAGTCCAAAAAAAGCTTTCAGCTTCCATGAGCTGAAGCTACTTCAGCTAATTGAAGCCCGTTTCACCAGACTATTCTCCCACTCTTGCCTGCCAAACCAGAGGATCAGACTTTGCTGCTGCAAAATGTGCTTTTCACATGGAGGCTGGGCAAGAGTATTGTCCCAAGACAAGTCTTGAAAGTGTATCTAATACCTACTGAGATCTGAAAGGTATTCTTGAAACATACATGAAAACGATTTAATAGATGCTGGCTACATGCTGGCTATTCTGAAATACAGTACACAAGAGAATCCCCTGTGGAGTGAGTACTTAATAACCAATAACTTCTTAACTGATCCAGATTAAAGTCAACATAAAATGAAAGAGCACTGGAATGATAATTTTCTCATGGGGCATATGTGTGCCTGGGGATAGTGATTGCCTAGAGATAGGACTGTTTGGATTCTTGCACCTTTCTGTGCAAAAGTGCCTATTAAAAATCAGTTTAAGCTTCTTTTTAATTGTAACTTTAAATGTAAAGTTGGTTATCGTAATCAAGTATGTTCTTCAAACCTTTCTTTCCAAGATTTACCTGAAAGTTTTTCAGAGTTATAGAAATGGAGAGAAGGTAATAGACAGAAACAAGTAAATGTTAGTGATTTGGAAGAGTAAACACAAAGCAAGAGATTCTTACCGCTCCCGGAACAAAACCAACTTTATGCATCAAAGAAAAAAAACCTCAAGTGATACCAAAAATAAAACAACCAATATGGAATTGAATGTTTGGCTGAGAAATTACCTGTTGTCAGAGTAGAAGCAGATCAAGGACTGAGATTTCACAAACTCAGGGAAGGTTTACAGGCTCTGGCTGCTTGACTGAAGAACCTCTTAGAAAACACTGAAGGGTTGCCAGGGTCCTGAGGTTCACCACAGTCACCAAAGCAAAGCCTTTCGGGTGTGCATATTTAACAGAAACACTCCCCGTATGAATGCAGTGCGGGAGGAACTACTGCCACTTATGATAAATGTGGTTTATCTGTCTATTACAAAATCAAACCCTGTTAATTGCTTGAAATTTCCCTGAGAAACAAAGCTCCACCCCTTTGTTTTGTAACCATAACAGCATGGAAAACGAAGTAAGAATTACACGCCAGGGCATTGTTCTCATGTTGATGGGAGCAGGAGTTAAGGGCAAATGAAAAGACATGAAAAGTCCCAGCAGGAAACAGTCAACATACTTCAGAGTAAAACATTAAACTGCCCTCACTACTTGTAAGGAATCATGTAAGTTTTCTGTGTCTTGGCTGATTCTTGGGTGTACTTCTATTTTATCCTTGGTCTGGGCTATCTTTTAGAAGTGAGTAGTTGGTAATAACAAAATATTTTAGATATAGGATTTCTTCTTCTCAGTGTGAAGAACCCAGTAAAGCGCTTGCAAAGACCTGCATGTGTTTGTGTTTCCCATGAGATTGTGACAGGTGCCTAACTGTAAACTGATCCACTCCTGCTTTTTTCCAGAGCTGCAGTTTTAATCCTACTTTCATGCTTTCCCCTCCCCCCCCACCATTTCTCTAGCACTTTCTTCTGCTTCTTCATCGTGCCCATTCACGCATCTCGGGCAATATGCAAGGACAACTTCTCACAGGGTCTGAAAGTTCTTTTAAATGCCATGTGTTCACTTGGGTTTCAGAACATGCTTGTATTACAGTTTGAGCCCAAATAAAAGCATTGTATTTTACAATCACTAGCTTTAGAAAAGTTTATCCCTGTCAACCAATGTAATTATGGGGTTGTTAAATTTTTATATCTGCCTTAGGGTGGGGGTGTCTTAAATACTATTCTAGAATGAAAATGCTTCTTGTTCTGTGAGTGGAAGGTCCTACTGTAGTGTTTTCTTGAGTTTACTGGTTTGACATCATTGTGTTCCTATAAAGACCAAATGCTTTTTGCTTTATTTTTTGTCAAGTACACCTGTGGCACTCCATGAATAAAAAAAAAATGTAGTGAAAGGCATTGCTACACATATATGTGTAACTAAGCACCTTGCAAGCATTGACTTTTGTATTTAAGACATTACACCTGAAAACTCTCTCCTCTTTTGCTCTGATTCTCATGCATATATTAGCCCTACAGAGAGCACTAGAATGTAACTTTGTGACATGTGAAGCCAAACTTAATAAGAATCTCAGAAAGAGTACCCGGAATACAATTGCTAAATTTGTCAGGATTTGCATTGTTTTCATTGCATTACGAATTTAATGAAACCACACAAGCATATCAAGTTCACGATTCCTGTCATGTCTTGTTTTACTGGAACTCCACCTCTGAACCATGAAGTAAGATACTGTAATTACAAAAAGGGTTGCAAAATTTTTTTTAATATTTATTGGCTGAATACATGCGGTGAATCTCACACTCCCGCTAAGCAGCTCCAAAAGCAGCCATGTTCTGTGTTTATTCTGTCCAAAGATCTCATCTTCCATTTGCGTCACACCACAGCGAGATGAAATCGTGTTATCACTGACATAATCCTGGTATCCAGTGATAAGTCAGTTTGGTGACTATTCTGTTATTACTTTTCTTTAATGAAGAAAAGAAAGATGCCTTTAATGACATGGAACTTGGAGAAAACAGAGAAGCTCACTAAGTCCATGAGTCTCATTCTTCCTTTCCTAGTGAGGTCAACTTTTCCATCAAAATACTTTAATTCTTTAGTGGACATTTAAAACACATTTCAAAATTTTAAAACACATTTTCAAATAGCAGCCAAAATTCAACAGGGTTTTTGTAATAGCCAAACCCCATAGTACTGCAGGGTAAATTAATCACTTGATTTTGAGACTTCTAGGGTAAAATTTAGTTTAGTACCGTGTCCTCTCAAATGTCTAGACCAGGCTTTATTGCTAATAGTAGGTCATATAGATGATAGGTGTTTGTAGTTTACTCCTATGGATTTAGAGTTTGAAAACAGGGGAAAGGAGATGCATACCATAAGGTTTATTTAGAATGGGACAGTCTTTTTAACACAAATGAGAAGATACAGATTGCAGTTCTATAGGATGCTGTATGAAGATTATTAAAATTTAAGATGATGGTATATTCCAACAGTAAAAGGACTTAGTTCTTAGCTCATATTTACAATTTTACTTTTCATGCCCCCCCAAAATTCTAAACTTGAGATTTTCCTTATGTAATCCTCTTGCCAGAACTTGGCAGCTGTGATCACAGCTTTGGTGCTTTTGGTGCTTTTGTAGACAGCATTGCTTATCAGAAGTCCTTACTCTGCTATAAAACAACACTCATTTCACAAAGGCGAGCACAGTACTAAATCGGACATCCTCGAACCCCGCATAGTCAACTATGTGTTTGTGCAAGCTGCCAAGTGGCTTAGCTCCTCTTTTCCCCGCCAGCTTGTGCTATGACAACCTTTTACTTTTATATTTCTTGCTGCCGTGACTGCTGAGGGGACAAACTGCCGCCACATGAGTGGCGGGCCGAGATGTCCCGGGGGTTCAGCGCGGCGGGGCTGTGCGAGCGCGGTGCGGCCGTGCGGGCTGCCCGCCCCGGCCGGGACGCGGCTCCGTGGGGCGGGACGGGCGCGGCGCCGCGCCCTGCCGGCACTCGGGACTCGGCTCCCGGTGAGAGGGACGCAGCCCCGCCGAGCCGGGCAGCGCCGGGCGATGTTCCCCCTGTGGAAGGCCGTTCTCTCGGAGAGTCTCCTGGGTAGGTGGCGCCGGGGCTTGGGCGGGGGCCCGCGGTTGAGGGCACCGGGGGCGCTCAGCCCCGGCAGCGCGTCGCGGGGCTCACCGTGCGTGCAGGCGTGTCGCCGATGAACAGCTCCCTCCGGAACGAGTAAATAGCGCTCACATCTGAGCGCTCGTCTCTGGGTTCTTTTTTTCCTGCAGTGCTGGAATGCTTTTTGTCTCTTGGATCAGCCTAGAATGTGTTGCTGCTCCCGGCCAAGTGTTTGTGCAGGTGTTGCAGAGGCGGTGCTGTGCTGCCCTGCTCAAGGCAGGGCTCCCAGGGTCGGCAGTGTGCTCTGCTCGGTGCATCTCCCGCAAAGCACGGAAACTCACAGCGCAGTGCTGCTGTGCCCGGACAAGGCGTCTCCAGGGGAGAACAGCGCACCGATTTACTAGAATAATTCCTTTAGCCACCAGCCTGCCTTTGAGGAGCCCTGAGACTGTGGGCGGACTGCTTATTTAGCCAGCCCTCTGGACGCTAATCCTTTCCGAATTTGAGCACTTCACTGAGGTTCAAAATAGGAACTGCTGTCTGAGTAGGGGAAGAGCTGTTATAGTCCCATCATTCTATTTCCTCGGAAAATGTGTTTGTTTAACTTTAAATAACAAACATTTCTTCAAAGAAGGTGGCTTTTGTTGCTTGAACTGCTTTCAAATATATTTGATAGTCTGTATGCGAAAGTATAAAATGGTACTTTTTAAGTAATCCCCAGGAAATCTTGTTGAAAATGCATGATGGGGTTTTCTCTTTTTGGTTTGTTCTTGTTTTAGGCTACATTTCTTGGTCTCTTTACCATGCACTGCCACCAATGATCTACTACTTCCCTCTTCAAACACTGGCACTCACAGGCCTAGAAGTTTTTGCTGTTGCCTTCTTTTCCCCGATATTCTTGACAATTGGCCCTTTTTGGAGGTTGGCTAACAATGAGTATGTCCTAGCCTTTCTGAGATTGACTACGGTTGGTAAGTACGCACTTATAGATTGCATTTTGGTATCAGTGCATAAGAACAAACATTGCAAGTTACCTTAAAATTCAGACAATTGCAAAAAGACAAGAATAAAAAGTTCCCACTCTCCCCATACTCATGTTTTGTTGGTTTCTTTTTTTTCTCTATAGTCAGAGAAATATTCTTTGTAGCCATTGTATTGCATAAATACAGAAAAATATAGTTTCACTTTTATTTCTAGGAGCTTTTAATTTAGTAATAGTCATGCCCAATAGGAAAGGTGTTTACAGTGTCACTCAAATATCAGCAGAACAGGTGTTTTCTGAATTGTGACAATGGGTAGGGATGAGGCATTACGTAACAGCTTGGGGCTAGTTTCTATGAGTGAAACATTCTTTTTTTAGTCTCTGAGGAAGTTTTTTCTTCTAAGAATGTATTTTTAAAATTAAATCTATCTATCTACATGCCTGTAGAGGGGTTATAGGCTTATCCTAAATATGAAATAAACTCAGGAAATAGATGCCCCATTTCCCATTCCATAGGCTCCTCCTTAAATGAAGATTTGCTGGGATTCCCACTTCAGTCTTCAGATAACTGGTTCAAATCTTAGCTCTTGTTGATTTTTTAAGTTTTTCAGGGGAAGGTTTGGCAGTTACAGCCACGCTCAGAGGCGAGTTATGCTAAAGAGTTTGCCACACTGGATGAATCGAAGGAGACAAGGGTCTCCATCCTGTGCAGAGGTGAAAATGCTGCTGCTGAGTGATGTGGTTCAGAAGCAGCAGATCCTAGCTCCTCATTTGTCAATACAAGATGATAGATAGATAATAACTTGCCCTATAGTTTTCCTCTTTTACTGTTAGAAGTAACAGTATTTACTTTCCCTGTGTAGTTTTTTTAAAAAGAATTACTGTTCTTTATCTCTAGAAAAATACTAGAACTGAGCAGAGTTTGTTAGTGTCATTGATTTTCATGAAGAATTGTCTTTCTTTTCTTTTCCTGCTCTTTCTATTATATCCATCCTAGTATTTTCTTCTTTAGTAATAAGCTTCTCAGTGAACAGAATCTTCAGCTTCTTGCAGCAGTGCCTCATGTGTTGCCTTCAGCAAGATCTAGTTTAGAAAGTAGAAGTGAGTATAAGCATTTAAAATTGCACCTTACTTTCCTTCAGATGTGACAGTAACACAAAATTTGCCATGTTTATTTAAGGCTGAGTCT